CATATGGAACTCAAAACAACTTTCAACCAATATCAAAATGAGAATCTTCAATACGAACGTCAAGGCAGTTCTACAGTATGGAGCTGAAACTTGGAGAACTACAACAAACATCAAGGTGCAAGTATTTATAAATAGCTGTCTTCGCAAGATACTCAACATCCATTGGCCGGATACCATCAGCAACAGCCTTTTGTGGGAGAGAACAAACCAGCTTCCAGTTGAAGAAATTAGGAAAAGACGATGGAAATGGATAGGACATACACTACGCAAATCGTCAAACTGCAACACGAGGCAAGCCCTAACTTGGAATCGTGAAGGAATGCGGAAAAGAGGAAGGCCAAAGAACACATTACGTCGGGAAATAAAAGCAGATATGGAAAGGATGAATAACAACTGGAAGGAGCTGGAAAGGATTGCCCAGGACAGCGTTGGATGGCGAATGCTGGTGAGCGGCCTATGTTCCTTCACGAGGAGCAACAGGCGTAAGAAATAGTATGAAGCAATTGACATGAGAAAGTAAAGAATTGGAATGACCGGTTATTAATAACAACATATATATATCCACGAACAGGTGAAAGGTTATTTGGTGTTAGAATTAAGGAAACATCAAGGACGACTGGTGTAATAGTCGAATGGAGTTCAGATCAATTGCGTGGAAATTTTAGAGGTAATGAAAGATTCATGAAATTAAAAACTGATATGATAATTCAAAAGAATTCGAAGAGTTCACATAATTTAAGAGGACGAAGTGAGCAAGTGTGATTTATTTATTTATTTATTTATTTGAACACATAAATATTGGTACAAGAGAGCGCCAATATATATGCGCCACACAAAACAATGAAAATTCGAAGAGAGATAGAAAAAAAAAACTAAGGACCACAAAAGGTAGTGTGGTCGTAACGATGGAACAGAAAGGTACAATCAGAAGAAATCTTTCAAGTAAGGGAGACACAACCACTATTATGAAGAAAGTAAAAGAAGGTTACAGCAGGATCGCCACTGGCTTCTATTCTGAGCCATATCTGATAACGTCTCTAGCCACTGTGTAGCACAATCTCTCAGACCCCAACTAGGGAGTCGTGAAGGACCGACAGAAGCCAGTCCTTTGCAGCTTTCTTTCATACCACGACACCATGTCATGCACTGACCACCTCTCCGCTTTTTCCAACCAGTCCCAGAGTCGGCAAATAATGCACGACGTGGAATTCTCTGGGACGACATTCGTAGAACATGTCCAAGCCACCGAAGTCGGTGTTTCAAGATGGTGACACCAATTGAATTATCATCTCTGTGCCCAAACACACGATGCCGAACCTCTGCATTACTGACATGGTGTTGCCACTGAATGTCAGCAATCCTTCGGAGACAGCGATGATCGAACACAGAGAGTCGTCTAACGTCCTCAACTCGGAGAGGCCAGGTTTCACAACCATAGAGCAAACCTGCTCTCACCGACGCGTCGTAGATCCCACCTCTTACAGTCAGACTGATATCACGAAGGTGCCAAAGATGGCCCAGATTGGCATAAGCCACTCTGGCTTTCACTATACGTGCATTGATCTCATCACTCACACCCCCACCAGCACTTATGCAGCTACCCAGATACACGAACTTCTCAACTACGTCTATCTGCTCACCATCCAGGGTGAGTACAGGATTGGAATCCTGCCAGTCTTGTAGAAGTACTTTGCACTTCGAAGGTGCAAAGCACATACCATACCTACGGACACTGATTGCCAACTGATTAAGTGCGGATCGCATGCCATGGGCATTCTCGCACAGTAAGACAATATCGTCCGCATAATCAAGGTCGAGAAGTCTTTCTCCAGGCAACAGATCCGCACCACCATTACTTACATTCATCAGAGCTGTTTCCAGAATGTCATCGATGGCAAAGTTGAAGAGGAATGGTGAGATTGGGCAACCCTGCCTAACCCCACTACTCGAATGGAACAATGGAGAGAGGTGGTTGTATGCCCTCACTCTGCCTGAGGTGTTTTTATACAGGGCTTTTAGGATGTTAATAAACTTCTCAGGCACACCCTTCTTCAATAGACAATCCCAGAGAACAGTCCTGTCCAACGAATCGAAGGCAGCCCCAATGTCAAGAAACACTACGATTGTTGGCCTTTGATAAGTATGGCGATGTTCTAACATTTGGCGGAGGGTGAAGATATGAACAATACATCCTCGACCAGAACAAAACCCAGCCTGCTCCTCGCGAGTCAATCTTTCTCGGGTTTTGAACAACCTACGAAGTATGACGGAAGCCAATAGCTTGGACGCAATCGGAAGTAGACTTATCCCCCGATAGTTGTTGCAGGAACGACGTGAACCCTTTTTAAAGATAGGGACAACTATCGACTCATTCCATGACGTTGGTACACTTTCTAATTCCCAAACCTTTGAAAACAACGTCGTCAATTCCTTAGTCAAAAAGTCACCACCATCTTTAAAAAGAGCCGGAGGTAAGTCATCTGGGCCAGGTGATTTGTAACTCTTCAAGAGTTGGAGTTCCTTGCGGACCTCCTCCTCGTTTGGTGGATCAGTCGTCACCGGCCATGGAGGGCAGGACAGTCTGACCGATGTTGCCGGAGCAGCAGGCCAGTTGAACTGCCCTTCAAAAAATTCTGCCCATCGTCCAAGACGTCGATGGATATTAGTGATTGGCATCCCATCATCCTCGCAGATTGTTTCACTCACACCAGACTTCTTGCTGCCAGTGGCTCGGATGAGCTGGAAGAGCTTCCGGTAGTTACCAGATGCAGCTGCTGCTTCCAGCTCATTAGCACGCTCCGACCACCAGGCTTCTCGGTCCTTACGCAAGCTTTGCCCAATTTCCCTACGTAACATCCTTCGTTTATGGTCAAACTCACGGTCACCCGGAGTGGACAGACGGGCTTCAATGAGTTGTAAGGAACCAGAAGAAACCCAGTGCTTAAAAGCGGGACGTTTCGCAAACCCACAACTGACTGTTCCCGCCATTTTCATGGCGTCAAGCAATTGCAACCAATGCTCATCTATACTTTTCGGTGGAGTGGTAGCTAGCCTAGAGGCTAGCTCGGTTCGATACTTATTTGCAACAGAAGTTGCAACCAGCTTGCTAATATCAATCCTTTGCTGGCGGTCACTTCGTTGTCCACTGAAAAGTAAGGCAAGATTGGCGCAGACCAAGGCATGGTCAGAGTCAAGAAAGGTACTCCAAAATGAGCGGCAGTCTTTTACACAATCACGCCAGCGGTAGCTGATCGCGATGCGATCAATCTGAGTCCAGGCTTGGGATGCAGAGGGAGGACGCCAGGTGGTACATCGGCGACGACTGTGCCGAAAGTTAGTGCTAGCCAGAAACAGGTTGTGGTCTGTGCACAGTTGCAGTAGACGGTCCCCGTTATCTGACCTGCGACCAACGAGTCCCCATCGGCCACCTAAACGACTCTCTTCTGTGCCTAGACGCCCGACCTGAGCATTCAAGTCTCCGGCTAGTACTACAATATCTGTCGAGCGCACTTTCTGGAGAAGAACAGATAATTGGTGGTAAAACTCATCCTTGATTGCATCCGGGCTGCAATCTGTCGGGGCATAGGCAGAGATGACGAAAAGACATCGTTTCTCACGCCGATTTCTTCTCACTTTGATGGAACTTTCTAATCTAACAGCACATAGCCGACTGTTAATGGGGATCCAATCAACTAGTGCTGCCTCAGCTCTAGCGCTTAGTGCGACACCAACGCCAGCAAGACCAAACGAAGATGCCACAGGGTCCCCGGATAAGCGCACGTAAAACAAGCTTTTCGAAGCGACAGATGGAGATCGAATTTGTAGTACTTCGCCAGAGTCTTGAATATGGGTCTCGGATAGACAACAAACATCAATATTAAGACTTTCCAAAGACATAGCCAGCCCTATCTGTTGTCCAACCTGCACTAGTGTGCGAACGTTGAAGGCAGCCAGTTTGAATGGTGCACGTGGTTTCAGAAAAACTGCTTCAGTTCTCGTATTCGGTGGTAACATACAATTTTCAACCGGACAGTGACTCGAGAACGTTTAGATACAGTCGAATTTCCACCAAAGACGAGCCGCTGTATAAGTATAAAAGAGGGTGAACAATGTGGAAAATAATAATAATAATAATAATAAGACAATAATAGTAATAATTATTTGAATCGATTGAATGTTGATCGGAGCGAGGAAATTAATTGCCATAGTTATAGAGTTCATGGTTTGTGTGTGGGCTGTGATACTGCCCGGGTGCCCAAACCGAAGCCGGTGGTTATCTTAGGGGGCCACACCCCGAGCCTTTACCTAATAATCTAACCCACAAGGCAGTGGAGCATCGTACCGAGATGCAATCCCATGGTAGCCGGTGACCAACGATTGGTTCATACGCCATTTGTTCCCGCAGGATACTGGAGCCCATGTGCACCATTGGTTTGTGATCCCGTTAGAGCGCCGGACGTTCGCTTTTCGTCCTCTCATTTTCGCAAACAACACCCCCACCACGAGAAGGCAATGAGTAGGACTTCCCTGGTAGAGGCTGTATACGCGCGGCCGTGTGAGAGTATTTCGAGAGGGAGAGCGGACTCTCCCCACTCTCGGCCGTACCAGGGCGTTCGGGGGCAAGTGTGAGTGAAAGGGTGGTTTAAAAATTCGGTAATGGGAGAGGAATATAACACTTTTCTCCAATTACTACGTAACCCATCTTATCAGGGAACCAACTACATGAAATTATTGTCTAGTCCGGTACTAATACTAATTTGATAATAGACCTAATCCGACGACGGTAAATATGTCAAGCGGTTACCTAATCTGTAAGGTTTTACGTAGAAGTCGCATCACTCACTGTGTAAAGTGACTGATCGTCTCATCGCAATTAACAATGACATAAAGCTACGCTCTAACGAAATTTCAGAACTGATGCAGAAGTACAAGTTCTTAATTCTCACGGACAGTTACTCGTTAACACTACCTCCCCATGAAAGTAGGAAGAAGAGGGAAATAAAAATTATGCATAGGTTTATTAAATAATCATTAATACTGAATTAGAAAAACGAGTTTACAAGTTGTTATTGATAATTCCTAATAAATAATTGTTGGAGTTTTTCATAACTTCCATCGCGAAACGTTCACCATATTTCTCAATTGTGTTGCCTGTAAAGTTTTTAGCATCGTAGAATGCTTATATATTCACCACTCCGTCTCGGTGATGAAATTGTTGTGTGATTTTGTAAGTTCTGAGTATTATCTAACTTCTATCTACTTCAATGTCTAAAAATTTGATGAGCTATACAGTTTATATTTCGTATTTAATTAAGCATATCTGTAATAGTTCGTCATTTAACACAAGCCAGTAGTGTATGGCGACAAGGATATTGGCACAATAAATATTCTAGATGCACTCACAAGCGCTTATATCCACCTCGTAATGCTTTTCACAGTCCACCATGAACAACCAATCAGCATTTTCAAATTCGACCTAAACGAAACACATCTTTTTTAGTTCACTTTCGCGTCACACAACTTGAAATATACTTCTATACACTTACCTGTGGAGAGTTTAGCTTTCATACTCTTCACATCGGCAGCAGTGACCTGCTTACCAGTCCTGTGTTTGATGATTTCTACTAATGCATCTGTTGATTGAGACTGCAATATGACCGGCTTCAAATTTTCTTCTTCTTCGGACGACAACCTTCTGGCCCATGGGTCAAAAACCATCCACGAACTACTACAAGGGTGATTGTGCAACATATTGTATGATTTTATAACATATCCTTCCGCTTCCAATCTTACGCGGAACCTCGATTGGCAGTTAAGAAACTTAGACCTTAAATGTCACATATTAGTCAAGGTTCTCACTGTTTTTGATTCATTGTCAGACATCGTGATTTACGCTTATGACCGAATGTACAGTGAAATGACACAAAAAGGTACTTGAACCTGACATCCTTGAGGAATCTGCTCTCTGTGTGGATATAATGAGTATGGGTAGTCTGAAAAAAGATAAGATTATTCTTCCATACTTTTTGGAACTCTTTTAGAGCGTTATCAAAGTCATCCCAGGTTGCGAAACGGTTGTTCAGTATAATACGTTGAAAAGCATCGCTTAAGTCGACTGAAATGTCACTTGAACATGAAGTACTACAAACGGAAACCATTAATAGTGAAAGTTATTCCTTGAAACAATAATAACCCAACGAATTACTACAAATATTTAAGACCTACCAGTGACTTGACATTTCGTTGACGTTTACTACAGCAGTTGGGATCACAGACCAACTTACGAAATAACAACAGAGCCAATGTGTACACTACAAAACAAATAATGCTAAATTAAAGCTTTTGGTAGTTATTTTGTACTTTATAATACAGTAAAAGATGACTTAAAAATGGAAAAGCTTAGTACTCATACAACCTATCGCAATTGAAGTACAGAATGACCGCCGTTTCGGTGCGTTGAAATGAAACGGCGGGCAGTTTTGTCTTCAATCTTCAGTAATAAGGATAGGAGTTCTATCGACCTATATTAATCCTTCCAGTTTGTAATACTATGGAGGTCCAATCTCGTTTTGAATATATTAACAGAATGTGCTGATATTACGTGTTTCGGTAGAGAATTCCAGTAATTCACTGCTTGGTGCGAGAAACGAAACTCCAGATGTAAACAATTTGATCTCGGTTTTTGAACTATCTTCGAATGTTATCTCAAATGATCAGTCCTGGACGAAGTAAAAGATAAGACATGGTAATACCAAGGTCATCGTTCAGTATACGATAAGCCAATGTTGGATCACCCCGTGCTCTATGGTAAGATAACGGAAGTTGAGGTGTCTCAGTCTGTCTTCATAAGATAGGTCAAATAGACCTTGTACCATCTTAGTTACTCGTCGTTGGACTCTTACCAACATCTCTGCTTCATACTTGAAACAAGGAGTCGCTGTTTGAATCCCATATTCTAAATGTGGTCACACGTAAATCGGGTATAATAGTCTAAATATTTCATCATGTAAATAATGAAAAGACCTACGAATAGACCATAATACCCTATAGCTTTTCGCAGCAGCAGCCTTACAGTGACTATTGGTTTTGAGATCACTACTTAATATGACTCCTTAATTTTTATAGTTTCTTACTTTGGGTAGCACGGATCCACATATTGTGTAGTGATACGATTCATCATAGTTGTTTTTATCACTACACTCTTATTAGGATTTACTTCTGGTGACCACCTGTCCAACCATACCACCAATGAGCTAAGGTCATTATGTAATACTATTCTATCCGACATACTGTGTATGGGTCTCCAAATATTTGTCATCAGCGAAGAGTAGAACGGATGATTTCGGTATAGTTGGTAAAAAGAGAAGAGGACAGAGGGTTGTACCTTGGGGAACTCCACTTTTTACAGGTACCCACGAGGAGAGAGCCCCACTAACCCTTACCCTTTGTCTCCTGTCATGGAGAAAGTTACTTATCCAATCGACGACTGTATAATGGATTCCAAAACGTTTCATTTTGAATTTAAGACCAGAGTGGGAAACCTTATCAAAGGCTTTACTTAGATCTATGAAAATCACATCCACAGGAGCATTCCGATCCTTTGCCGCAGACCAATCTTCTCGTGCAATGAGAAAATTTGTCAAGCAAGATAGGCCTTTCCGAAAACCATGTTGTGCCCTGGAGAAAAGATTTTGCACTTCAACATAGTTTATAACAGCTATCTGAATGATTTTCTCCATCAGTTTTACGACTGCACTAGTTAAGCTAACGGGTCTATAGATACTAACTAAATCCCTACCCCTAGCCTTATACACCGGACTTATTATGACTTCTTTCCAGTCTCTAGGAAGTCTGGACTGTCTCAGAGACATGTCGAATAGTATCGCTAATGGTCCAGCCTTAAAACAGTACCTTTCTCAATGACTACAGGATCCATGAGCGAGCGGCCGCGAACTCAATGAATCGTTGATCGTTCTCCATTACTAATAGAAAACACTTTAGTGAAATATTCCGATAAAGCTTCAGCTTTTTCGTTATCATTGTCTGCCAAGATCAACGGATTTTCTTGTACCAAAAGTGATGGAATTCTATCGCTTCTCTGTGATGATGGAGCCGCTAACCCCATGTCCAACCCTCCTCCTTTACCCGGGCTTTTGATCTGCAGTAACTCTAGAAGAGCTACAGGCGGATTTCCCCTATTATCAAGCATCTGTTATTTGAACTCCGAAGATGAATGTGCTCTAAAATGAAGTCATCAGGTAAGCAGATCGGGCTGCGATAGAAGACACAGAGTATAAATGTACTACTTCCGATAGCCAATTTACAACTAACGATTTCACAAGTACCTCTATCATAGGATTTGCTAGTAGAGGAGCGGATATTTATATCATTGACTATACATAACAAGACGCCACCTCCTTTTCTACATCTATGTCTATCACTTATGAGATAACGGTATTCAAATAATTCTGGTGTAATTTCTAAGTCATGGATTAACCAAGTTTCTGTCACTGCTACGACGAGTAACTTTAATCCGTCCACTAATGTTTCTAGTTCATAGAACTTATTTCTTAGACTACGAGCATTGGCGTATAAAACTCCTAAGTAGAACGGTCTATCCATACAGGCTTTGGTAGCATTCGCTTCCAACACCTGAGTATTCGAATACCCACTAGCCGGAGATTTTCCTCACCGTTTTGTCGGCGGGTTTCTAGTTCAGCTAATGCTTTCTTTCTTCTTATTCTATCTTTGAGAGACATGTCAGGTCTAACTCGTATATCGGAATCGTCGTGACAATGAGTGCTACTTAACAGGAGATCCCCTTGCTTCTTCGATCCTAGGATAACCTTAAGGAGTCTACATGGTCGGGGTTCAACATTTTCCTCAGTCCTCTTGCCTATTCTAACCAGTTTTTTGACCTGAACTCCTTTAGAGTCATCTGGTAAGACACTACGAATATATTTTTCCAGCTTCTCTAAATCATTCGCATGTCTAATTTTGGGATCTGGGTCGTTTGACTCCAGCAATTTGCTCACACTAGTATTCGATGAGATTAGATTCTTTTTCTGAGTCAGGCCAGGGTGAGTTTCTCTCTTACTATCAGATTTCGGTAGTGCGTTTAGTGACTCACAATGGAAGTCCATCAGTGACTTGTTAACCACCTGCATACCGCCTACAGCTCTGTTCTTTTCGTTTCCTTTTCTCCGTACTGTAGTCCATTTTTCATCCCTAAGGACACTGGGACTATTTGGAACAGTGACGGTTTTATCCAGATCTTCAGTTTCCACTAGGGGTGCATGGTTACCGATTTCAGTGTCAGGTGGTACTACCCCCCTCGTTAATTTTAATGGAGATTACACATTTTCTTCAGTCAAAGTTGGTTGTTTAAGGCGTCTCGTAACAGCATGTACTACAGTGACACATTCGTCACTGTCAGTGCTCGTGTTATCAGCGCATGCGCCATAGTTCTTCTCATAGGCCAAAGCCAATAGGCTACATCTTATTTGCTCAGCAAAACATGCAGGGCCAATGTGAATTAGGTTTCGAACATCTTTTGTATGCAGCGCGACCTAAACGTGTGCACATCTTATGGAGCCACTTTTTGCATCCATCACACTGCATTCCTTCCCCCACAGGGAACAAACAGTTTGGTTGTTCACATTTGTAAGTACTAACAACCATTCTAGTTTGATTAAGGTATAAAACACAATATGATCACAGTATGAACACAATGTTAGTCAACGAGTGAAAGGATACTACAAGACAAACTTTAGCAAGATTTCAAACCTTAACTATTTTGATTTAGACCAAGAATGCTTCTGATACAAAAATTACACAAAAGCAAGGATAATCACAAGAAGTACAAAATCACTACTTTTTGAAACACCGACGACAAACTAATATGGAAAAAGAAACAATACTGTAATTGAATACTTTAACTGAAATAAATTATGTTATAGTGAACACAGTAGTCTTGATACATAATAAACGATCAAAACAATAAAATTTACTCAACGAGGAAAAATGCCACTGTCCTTTTAATTAGCGCGCGATAAGAGTTATCTCACGTTTTTCCCGTGTCGATATTGGTAATGAGATTTACCGGAGAGATTAAACTCAAACACTATTCAGTTTGATACGTTATCATGACAATAAAGTTCTGATTATCCGTACAAGTTCTAGAAATCTGATTCAATTGAAATGCGATTATTCATTTATGAAAAGCTTTTAACTAATCGCCACGCAAAGTGAAAAGACTAGAAAAGATTATGTACTATACTTATTAAAACGAATAATATATACGCGACTACTTTCTATGCTATCAATCCTACCGAAGTTATGTAGTTGATAATCTGGGTTAGGCTTCAGTAGACCTGGGACAGTATTTCGCGCACTAGAATAGTTGACTATGGTGAGACTTGAGGAGGAAGTATAGAGTCGATATTTGAGATACGAATGATGAGTTGAAGAGGAGAACTGAAAATGAATACAGTGGTCTTAAGTGCTATTAGAGGATATGAGAGAGGTTATCACCTCCTGGTTTCCCGCATCGTGGGGGGTTCTGGTGGTGGCCGAAAAGGAAACTGTGTTAGAGTTGATCTTAATGACACAAGATTGAAACCGCAGTGCCCAAGAGGTAACTGTTTGAAGCCGGCCATACACGACCTTGTTGTGAGTAATTTGTGTGTTAGCTCTGTACTTGCTGAAGTCGTGCTGACGCAGAGGGAAATCCGTGGGATAAGGCGAAGTGTGCATTCTTGGGGTAGACGTTTTTTAACACAACCCTTCCTTTATGGGAAGGTAGAATAGTTGTTATGCTGGCTGTCTGAAAAAACACTCTACTGCCATCACAGCTCTGTACAGTCAGCAGTACGACCTCGCCCTTGGACCTCGAGTTCACTTCTTTTAGTTTTATCGCCCTTCAACCGATCTGTCTGGCATGGAAGGACATTGAGGAACGATTGTTTCAGCCACTATAGCTCAACTGGCTCATCACGATAGGCAAGCTCAACTACCACGTTAAGGAAGCAACAACGGTCGAGCTCCTGACATGCAATATGCCAATACCTATCCGGCCTATCAGTATCAAAATCTAAGCCTTTAATTTATAGTATAGAAAGGCATCTTCGAAATTTTCGACAGGTGTACTTAAATATTTTCATTAAGAGAAAATTATTTGTGAAAATATCCTTCCATGCATTGAACAGTGAATTTATCCTGAAATCCAAATAGACTTTTACCGTTGCATTTCATTTCTGCGTATGCGCATTTTTTTCATTCTGTCTTTATCTATCTGTTTAACGTGTTAGTTGCGAACAAGAGTTGACTTGCAACAGCGAAGTCTGTTAGACTTTGTTAAACATTTAAACTTGTTATTTGATTACACTCAACTATTATCCACTCTCCTACTGCTTGACT